TAAAAATAGCAGGTTTTGAATGATAGAAAGGTAGGCTTCATGAAATAGTATAAAATAGCTAGAATGGCTAAAATCGCGAGAAATAGCGACGCGTAGCTAGCGTGTCCTACTAGGCGGTGTCGGCTACAAGGGAAAGCGGTATGAAAGTGGGTCTAAGGAGGGTGTCCAAACTTATGGCCAGTCACTGTAGTTACCAGATGGCAGTCAATACGTGTGTGCAGTAGTGGGCATTGGCTTACTCCTGCTGCACTGTTTTGAAGGTACATTCTGCTCCCTAAACTGCTGCACCGGATTTATCTAACTCAAGATCGACTTCACTTCTTGGCATTTTTCAGAACCGAAATAGTCGCATTTAATTTGAAGTTCCCTTATTTCAAGGGCTCGACTGTTTTTGATTAAAGTATAATTTTTTGCGAGATAGGTAGCTGAGAGACGATTAAAGAAGCTCTGATGGCTTGATAACTACGTATTAATAGGAACTGTAATATAACCTACGGCATCAGAAAATCAACTTGGTTTTGAATCATGCTTTAGACTCCATGGTAGCACTTGCAGAGACAGAATTTGTTACACTCATGCGCGAGGAAAAGTTTAGTGCCCCGAGAATTCGAGGAACCCCACTTCCTTGCTGCCTGGCTCCATTCCAGAACAAGTATCCCATACAGGTGACGCCACGTTACTCAACGAGGTCAGCCCCAAGAACTACTTAAGTAATAGTCCAAAAAGCATTATATAACGCTCGCCAGGTCTTTCGCAGCGGCTATCTTCCACTGTGGCCTGTACTACATTAATTTATTTTCAATTCATTTCAGTGATCTTTCAACCACAGAAATGAGACCTATTTACTTCGTCCCTCTTGGCCTACTGGCTCTCCCAGGATGGTGCAGGCCAGTCTCTGACCCCCATTCTAGGACTGTTGATGTAGCTCCAGTCTCTCCAAACTCCCTCACTCCTAAGGGAGATATACCGGGATCAACCACTATGATCCACCATCTTCCGGAGTATGAAAGACATCCTAATTATTATAAAAAATATGAACTGACTCTTATTAGGAACTTGGATGCAACTACACATATTCTTGTATCTCGTGCCAATCATCCAGTGATAATTCCAGGATCTGGAACCTCAACCTCGCAAATCGGTTCAATGATGATTAAAATCATTGTCACGTCAGCAACCGACATAGCCTTCAAGATTCTCAACGGCGAGGAAGGCGTGCATCGTTTCACTATATATGATGTTTTGGGGAACGTTATCAATAGCATTGATATAGACAGCAACAGTTGGGGAATTGTTCCTAACGCTCGGGGGATGTTTGAGGCAGGGAAGGAGTATATGGTGGGGTGGTTCCAGTCTTAAGAGTCTGAGACTAGACTTTCGGGGTTTTTACCCTACCTAGGGGTATACACTGGGCCAAAATTCTCTCGACACTTCAAAGTCGAGCAGCAAAGCGACTATTTTTAAATTAAAATTACTCAACTGGAACCACTCTCTGGTGCCCAGAAATCGAATATATAATAGTTTCAATCAATACTTAGTGTTCAGTTCCCTTGCTTTTGGAACCGCTTCCATCCTGTTTGTAGACCTCAGCATGACCCTCACTTGGGTTCAAGATCTGGAACATGGAACCGACCCGACCCTCAAGGCCAGCTACCATGACTCTACCCTGAGTGTCGCTAAAGTCCGTTGAGGGTCACCCGCAGCCACCCTCTACGGCCCTCAAATGCATAATTCTGGGCGATTTTTTCCCAAAAGGACGTATAAAAATGATGATTCATCTCTCCGATTTACTGTTATTTACGGCTGTTCAGGAAACAAATTGTCTTATGTAGTCTCAACGTAACCTACGAAATGAAATTCTCTGAAAGTGAATTGTATTCACCAATCTTGGCCTCAGTAATACCCAATGGTCCAAGATTGGGGTGCTTAGCAGTAAGATATGAGGCTATCTAGCGGTTGCGATTCGGACATGTTGTATCTGTCGGTAGAAACAAAAGCAAGCAGGCGCTGTGCGACGCTCAGCAGTCGACAGTGCTTCACAGTCGAGTCTTCCAGCCATGATCTCTGCCCAAAGGAACATCGATAAATGGGTTTCAAACAATTCTAGCGGCCGACCCTAACCAGCCTGACGACAGTAATATAACAACTCAAACGAACCCTATATCAGGTACGAAACACTTAATCTTCTCATATTACATGCTGACCCCTTGTCGCAGACCGCGTGAAGCCAGCGCCGCTTCCGTACCGGCATAAAAGAACACGGTCGTCATCCTGGAGGTGGGACTATGTGCATCGTGTCTGATCTGGCGAACAGAGCGTGCACTTTAGCAGCATTTCATCGGCTGGAGCGCTATATTGCGATCCCGAAGAAACAGTGGCCAACTATCTTGATAAACAAGTCCTGGTGCATGTCCCTACATCAAAGGCGGTGATCAGCAATGAAGCCTCAGCATGAGGAATATAAGCGTAGTTGTATATCGTTCCATGTATTCCGCAGAGGAAGTAGCAATGGCCCTTCTTTGGAATGACGATAATATAGAGGATGTCCCAAAGTCAAAGGACTCGAGCACGATGGTGGTGCCCTTACAACAGGCCCGTCTACACATTTTCATCCTTGTCATGCAAAACTAGGAGGATTTCATCGGAGTGTTATGTGGCCCGGTAAGTACTGCGGACAGCGTATAAGGATCCACGATACTATGAGTGTTCCCGTAGGGAGACAGGACATGGTAGCAAGGGGGCTCTGGGAAAATGGAAATACGGCATTCTTGTTGGCTCAAGGTAATACGTCTGCTTGGATTTGGTAGGATCGATGGTCGAAAGCAGGGTAATCTTTGGGGTGAAGCGTACGATTTGTTTTGACCTACACCCAAGTCAGGAGGAAATTAGTTTGACGGAGACCGTGGAATCACGAGCGCAGCTGTCGATCATTAGCGGCACCGCAAATCATTCGACCGCTTAGTTTGGACGACCCATGGAATCGCCTGCTCGGTGAGAGAATGCGGTCGTCATGAAGGATTCAGGCCCGGGCTTCTGCCCCACTTGCTTTCTAGTTGCTCATGATCAAGCCTCCTACAGCCCAAAATAAAACAGAACTAGGGCAGAATCAACAAAGTCTCGGTCTGCCCATATATAGGAAATTGGAAAAGACCAACACTGTACTAGAAAGATTCTCTCGCTACAGTCATAATCAAGATACGGAGGGTGATTGAAATAAAGTTTAGGGGCCGCAGCAGGGCCGGCCCACAACCTCAACCCATTTTCGGGAGCCAATCGGTTCCTGGTTTTGGTGCAAAACCCGGAGATATTTTTACATAAGCTCATGAGATCTGTCCATGATTGGCATAGTTTCTACAAGCTCTCTGCTAGACATATCGGACTGACAATTGAACTGGGCAGATGGAGAGGATTTGTCGGGCTCAAAAAGAGTATACTCTGTACGGGGAAGGTCTATGCAAGACAGAAGACAGAGCTTCTAGAACGTTCGACAGACCTGATAGACAAGGAGCAACTTGCCACTTGACAGGAGAATTATTCTCCTGTGACAGGAAACAGGAAAACATAACCACGGATCGGGATTTAGCCTACCATTCTGTTGCCAGAATTCCGCGTGATATTCCAAATACCTCACCTGCCTGGACCGTACCTCGGCCGTACCTCCTAAGCAACAGAGTCCTTTTCGATCGGACACTGACGGCCGTCAAGTTTGGGCTTGTGGATCGGTCTGGACCTTTGCAAATCCTTCACTTCTTCTCCGGGCCATAAATAGAACCTCCTTGAACTAGTGTCCCGTGGGTCGTCGCTGGGATCTGCATCGCAGAAAGGTACCTGCATCAATCTAAATTCGCGTGTGGTATTTCATTGGTCTGTGGGGTGCTTTTCGTCTTCAGGGTCTCATCAGTGTGATAGTAGCGTTGCAATCTTGCGAGGGGGTGGCGATCATGAGAACCTTGCTCGTGAGCCTTAGTTGCAACAACGCACATGGCTGTCCTGGAAACTAGGCTTGTGTCCGAGCCACTTAAGTACCACCTCTGCTATAACAAGTCCGATTTTTGCCGAAATACTTTGAATGCCCTCCCGAGCTGAGGCTAGCATCTTCATTGCCCGGTTCCGAAGCAAGCCATGGAAATAAACTCGACTAGGACGGCTTGCTGAGGGGGTTTGGGTCACAATGCCCTGCCGGACAAGTTCGCACCGAGTAATTATCCACTTGTTATTCAAAAAGCCCATATTCCAACCCACAAATGGGAACCAGTGTCGTGAAGCATGCAGAATTTTTGATTTGTGATTGTCCTGAGATTACTGTGACCGAACTTTCTAGTCGGTTTCATGTAACCATCACGCAGATGGATACTTCTTAATATTATCTTCAGTAATACCATCGCCATCCCATGGCATATTGAAGAATAAAAAACAAAAAAATGCGTCGAACCATCTTCAGATACGGTAGAATTAGATTAGACGTATAATCCTTTGACGATTAGACTTTCCCTAGCAGACTGAAAGGCAGAGAAAGTTCCAAGGCCACTGAATGTGGTTAGTGGTAGGTCCCACAAACCTGGGAGCATCATGATCGTCCGACAGACCAAATGAGAATCCACCAAATCTGAGTGATCATGCCAGTGGTCTCCTCCTGTCATTGGATGGGCAGTATAGTATGTCTTCTCTGGTCCATCCAGAGTCGTCGAGACTCAATTGAGCTGGCTATCCGCGGGCCACAAGAATTGAAATACCACCACGAGAACGATGGCATCTCAAATTAATTGGCCACTGACACGTGAGGTCTCAGTGGACTAGGGAACTGGTAGTAACTAAAACTGGTCGGCAAGGGCTTGAACCGCGAAAGCAGCTTATATAGCTGTCTTGTTATATCAGATTATCGCTTCTACATTACATTTGGATACCGATTTCACTCGAAAAACTTAAGATCTCTTTCCAGATCGGTATCCGAATACCTTGGGAAGAAATTTGCGTCAGAATTCTCGACATGTTTGGGTTGTTCAGTGGAGATCCTCTGCAAAAGACACCCGCTTTTTTTTGTATCGCTCAGTCAAAAGCGATTGAAGAGATGCAAGCGTCTTCTTAACATCCTCCATCTCCTCTTTGAGAATTTCAATATCGCCGGCAGTCTTTCTCTTGAGTAAGCGCTTGGGGGCCTGGCTCTCTGGTCTGTATCCTTCTGTCAGCCCTTCTCTCCTGTGCCACCGGACATCAAAGGTGCACTTACTTCACTCGGTCGGCGGGTCTGCAAATTATTCGTTAGAAAGCGACAATGATGACGAGCAATATTGGAGGTGCTTGCTTACTGCTCAGCTGCGTATTTCGCATGTCGGTGCAGCCCTGAGGACGGACCACCACGTTTGAATGAACCCTTACTACCGCGTCGGCTTCCTTGGGTGAAGGCAATCGATTCAGATTGGCATTCATTCGCATCTTGAGGACAAAATTTCCGTCCCGTTGTAGCTTTGTCTTTCAGTATTTTCAGGACTTGGTCAGTATAACTGCGAGGCCCATGATCAAGATTTCGATGGACACGATCCGGCGATTCCATGGCTTCTTTTTTTCCGTGCGAGCCTGAGAAGAAAATGGAAAATTTTGGAGAATGGGTGGGGGAATTCCCGCAGAAAAGTTAAGCTACTTTAGAGTTTAAGCGCGCTGACCTACTTCATTGGGAACGCTTGATGATCCATGGAACTCTTGACTAGGGGTTATGTACTTTTAGCCCAAGAAATTTCTGGAAGCGTTCACTGCAGAAAGGGTAGGGATTCAACACTATCGATTCCAATCGAACCAAGGTGGTCACTTGATGGTGGAACATGCCAACCACAGGTACAATCGAGCGTGACTGTCGGCCACAAAGTCTCCAACGCAGTATTTCAACGTCTGTTGAAGCACCTCAACCCTCATGAAAGAGACGGTGACCGTGGCTAAAACAGGCAGATGTAGAGTGCCACCGCGTTGAGCGATTTAATTGCAAATTCAACAATATGTAGGAATCACATTTTTGCGGCGTTGCTTTCTTTCAACAGTTGATGAAAGCGGTTCACCATACTCAACGCAAGATTTGAGAGAAATGATCCCAGGTCGAAACTTGAGACTATAGGCCACAAATTCTCCAAACATCATTTCAACGTCGTTCGACTTGCTTCAACGCCAACCAAAGGACAGTGATCTCTCTACCCTCGGCGCAATGGTTCCATGGTAGAGACTTGACCGAAAAGTTATAAAAGGGGCCGGATTCCCAGCCCAAAAAACTCAGGACTTCGGTCCTCACACTTTGATCCTCACACTTTGATGCATCGTAGTGTCCCTCTCTTGCCTGCGGGCTCGAGAGTTTCCGTGACCACGGCTGTCGCTGCCACGAGCCCAGCGATGTAAGACTGTGCTCCCTCGCTGCCATGAGCCCCGCGAGCGTAAAAAGGTGCTTCGCAGGATAGGTCTGCGTGAACAACAATCCTCGCAGGGAGGTGCTGCGTCAACAAGACTACCTCGCAGGGGGACGCTGTGATGACAAGTGAGACCCGCAGGAGACCGCTGCGTTAACAAGTTCTCTGCAGGAGACCGCTGCATTACCAAGTTCTCTGCAGGAGACCGCTGCATTACCAAGTTCTCCGCAGCCTAGGTCCTGTGTCAACAAAGCGCCTCGCAGGGACATCTGCGACACCAAGAGTCTCCGCAGGGACATCTGCGACAACAAGAGTCTCCGCAGGATGGGCTCTGCGTGAACAAGTGTGCTTCGCAGGATGGGCTCTGCGTGATCAAGTGTGCTTCGCAGGATGGGCTCTGCGTCAACAAGTGTGCCTCGCAGGATGGGCTCTGCGTCAACAAGTGTGCCTCGCAGGATGGGCTCTGCGTGATCAAGTGTGCCTCGCAGGATGGGCTCTGCGTCAACAAGTGTGCCTCGCAGGATGGGCTCTGCGTCAACAAGTGTGCCTCGCAGGATGGGCTCTGCGTGATCAAGTGTGCTTCGCAGGATGGGCTCTGCGTCAACAAGTGTGCCTCGCAGGATGGGCTCTGCGTCAACAAGTGTGCCTCGCAGGATGGGCTCTGCGTGATCAAGTGTGCTTCGCAGGATGGGCTCTGCGTCAACAAGTGTGCCTCGCAGGATGGGCTCTGCGTCAACAAGTGTGCCTCGCAGGATGGGCTCTGCGTCAACAAGTGTGCCTCGCAGGGAGGTGCTGCGTCAACAAGACTACCTCGCAGGGGGACGCTGTGATGACAAGTGAGACCCGCAGGAGACCGCTGCGTTAACAAGTTCTCTGCAGGAGACCGCTGCATTACCAAGTTCTCCGCAGCCTAGGTCCTGCGTCAACAAAGCGCCTCGCAGGGACATCTGCGACAACAAGAGTCTCCGCAGGATGGGCTCTGCGTCAACAAGTGTGCCTCGCAGGATGGGCTCTGCGAAACCAAGTACTCCAGACCATCCGTGACCACGGCTGTCGCTGCCACGAGCCCAGCGATGTAAGATTTGCGCTCCCTCACAGCCAATGAGCCCTGTGTATGTAAAAATGTGCTCCCTCACAGCCAATGAGCCCTGTGTATGTAAAAATGTGCTCCCTCACAGCCAATGAGCCCTGTGTATGTAAAAATGTGCTCCCTCACAGCCAATGAGCCCTGTGTATGTAAAAATGTGCTCCCTCGCTGCCCTGAGCCCCGCGAGTGTAAGAGTGTGCTCCCTCGTTGCCATGAGCCCCGCGAGTGTAAAAATGTGCTCCCTCGCTGCCCTGAGCCCTGCGAGTGTAAGAGTGTGCTCCCTCGTTGCCCTGAGCCCCGCGAGTGTAAAAATGTGCTTCGCAGGACGAGCTCTGCGTCAACAAACGTGCTTTGCAGGGGATTGCTGCGTTAACAAGCCCTCTAGCAATGTGCAGGCACCTCTTCGTGGTGTTAGAGACCAGTATTCGATATTCAACAGTATTCGAAGAAGCAAAGACCTGCCCAACCTCCTCATAGTCTGTTTCTTTTTCCGAAGGATCATCATTGGATAGATAGAATGAGCCCTAGATAGATCGTCCCAAATTCAATGGCCAAAATTATACGATAACAACGAAACTGTCATTTTTATCAAAGGGGAGGTTCCCAAATGTTCTGCGCTGATAGTTTGCGGTCCGATAATGCTTTCGCGTAGTGAAATTGACACCCTTCATTCAGGCGTAGAGCAAACATGTTGGTGAGAATTAGTGAGACTGTCGATGCGTTGATGCGTTGATGTGTTGATGTGTTGATGTGTTGATGTTGATGTCTGATGTTGATGTCTGATGTTGATGTTTGATGTTGATGTTCGATGTTGATGTTCGATGTTGATGTACGGAGGTTAATAGGGATCACGAGTGCAATAACCCAGAATCCAATATAATTGGGCAATCTGTATACCGCCTCCTTTTCCGCCCGTATTTTATATCCTGTTCGCCCTACCTTAATTAGGTTAGCCACTATGGCGAGGAACAGACTTACAGTGACTGGACATAAGTTTCTACACTGTCTGGCCCCATCCCCTGATTATATAATATACTGCCAGTCAAAAACCTCCATGAATTCATACTATGGAATCTAATACGGTGTATACCGCCTCTGGCTCCCAATAATAGCTTCCATCCGCTGCGGAATCGTCTCAAGGAAATGCTCCCATCCTAGGTTTGCGTTGCTTACTATTTTTAGCATGGTTCTATACTACGCGCTTTAGGTAGGCGGTATAAATCAATAGAGACGGTGAGCTGGCCGGGGTGTAGAAACTTATGTCCAGTCACTGTAGTTCTAGGTCGGAATAACGTAATCCACGGGCGAGTGAAACACACGGGCGTGTGAAATACCCCAAAACTCCATACTAAATGCGATAAATAACAACTTCATATCTCCAAAAATATAGCTCTTTCGGATAGCATATAAAGCTCGTATAACCTAAATAGCATTTGTGACCTAGTGGTGCAGCATAGAAAGTTTAAGAAATAGGAGATATATGCCCTGAAACGAAGGAACGTAGTGAAAGGGTTTACAACCCTGCGCGAGCTGCCCGCCAACCTTTGCTGGCCTGCCCTGAAACGAAGGAACGTAGTGAAAGGGTTTACAACCCTGCGCGAGCTGCCCGCCAACCTTTGCTGGCCTGCCCTGAAACGAAGGAACGTAGTGAAAGGGTTTACAACCCTGCGCGAGCTGCCCGCCAACCTTTGCTGGCCTCTCACTGCCAAACTCTTCGTGCCCTGAAACGAGGAACGAGTGAAAGGGTTTACAACCCCACGCGACCTGCCTGCGACCTGCCTGCGAAGCTTTGCTGCGTTCCCACTGTGCCCTGAAACGAGGAACGAGTGAAAGGGTTTACAACCCCACGCGACCTGCCTGCGACCTGCCTGCGAAGCTTTGCTGCGTTCCCACTGTCAAACTTCGGCCGGATTTGGGACGCTGGTTGGTCCGTTTCGCTTGCCAAGGATTGCTCTTATTTGATATTTCTTTCTTCGCTCTTACTTGCTGTTTCTACTTCGCGCTTTCGCCTTTCATTTGCTGCTTTTCCTTTCCTTTCACGTGCCTGCCTGTCTCGGGCGTTACGGTAAGTGTTTTGAGGGGGTTTGGTGTTTTGAGGGGGTTTTTGGCCTTCTCCAGGCTCTCTTCTCTTTTGCTGGTCTGAAGCTTGCCTTTCTTCCCTCCTTCGGCTTGGTGCTTCCCGTATTCGTATTGCCTAATCTTGTCACTTTTACGTGAAGATTGTTAGACAAACGTGGTAGACTGAGAATTCTTGATGGTCAAGGTTATTATGTCAAGGGACCAAGAGAGCGAACCTTGCATTTTTCTTTCATGAGGTAATATTCGAAGATATCGGGCCTAGTGGGAGTGCCAACAGGTGTGGCTGCATGGGTCATAGCACGGTTAAAGTTGCGGGAGACAGCGGCCGAACCCGATAGGTTTTATTTGGGTCGTGGTAGCCCAAACCCTGTCAAAAACCACGTAAATACTGTTGCACAAAAAACACCGTGCTCCGGCTGCACTCTGATTGTGCAACAATTCGGAAGGCTGCAAAAGGGTAACAGAGCACCGGATTGGAAGGCACTCTGGGCTTTCTATTATAAGATTATTATTTTCCCTGGTCTTCCTCGCTGCTGCCTTCTCCTCCATGTTTCGCTCCTTCTGATGCCGTCTCTTCCTGCGCGACGTACTCTCTGTTCTGGTTGCGCCAGACCGTGGCAGTCCACACAGTTTAAGTCCTGCGATAATTGCCGCCGCAAGGCCTCTCAGCGAGCCTTAGCTAGTCGACAATTTACGGCCGCTGCGGGGGGGAGTAAACGTTCTACTGGACCGCCTCCTCTAAATTCCACTTCCGCACCTGCATTTTCCACCCTTCGTGTTTTAAGGCCTCTGGTACCAGTTTCGCTCGCCCTGAACCCCGTTCATGACACTGGGGCATCCTTGCCAGCAACGAGGACTCTTTTAAGGCCTCTAGCACCAGCTTCGCATCCACCACTCACTCCGCCTCAATCGTTACACATTTCAACCCCTACACTTCGGCCAGTTCCTGTGCCATTAAACCCGGGAGCTGAGCCGAGAACAAAAAGAGTGCTGCTTCCT